ACCATCATCCTCATCGTCTGATCCTTGTCCGACATCCACACAAACCGCCGGCACCTCGCCATTCTCTTCGTCATCCTCTTTCTCGCCAACTGGAAGGCATCCATGGGCCTCTGCCCACTCACACCATGATTTGTTTGGTGCAAACCGTTTCCCATTTACTGGCAGACCTGCCAGCACTCGCATCGTCTTCTTTGCCAACAAGACCTTGTTTTCCAGGTATGCAAACGAGTTGTTTGCCTCATCGAAATTCGGGTTGTCGATTAGGTAGAGAAGAGATTTCACCACATCCAGAAGACTGTAACAGCTACATATTCAATTAAAACTTTAATCACCCACATGCCTCAATGATATTGTAATATTAAAGGGGTCAACCCTATTAAAATCTGTGCATCCCAATATAAAAAGTGTCAGTTAATATAACAGTCATACGGCTTCCTACAGGTTACACATAATTACGTTCATCTTGTAGCAATTAAACGCTACATTGACAAGTCATCATCAGGGTCTTGCCAGTCGGTGTTTAACATATTTAAACCTACCAGCCATTCCTACGCTATTGCATACAGAGACCTGTTCATTTGCATTGGCTTAAACATGCCCTGCACAGTGTTGGTGAGGAACACAGGTATCTTATGGTTCAGCAGTCATGCTTGAATAAACAATCAAGACGTACCTAAGCCACTCACTAAGAAGATTTAGACAAATGCCTCCCGAATTATTGTTGATGTTGGGGTGGAAGATTGGTGAGGTGAATGTCACTTTTGGTCTATCCCTTGGATAGGACACGGGACACTTTATCTACAATATACATTATCAAGCACATGAAGGTAAAGTCTTCACCCAAAACCACAAAACCGTTAACGTGTTTGGTTAGATTCCTAAGCCATGAGCAACTACCAGGCCTCATCATCAGGGTTGCAGACAATTTCCGTAGTTTTTGAAGACCTTAAAATGGCGGCATATATCCAATCTATTTCGAAAATGTTGTTCGCAATATCCAACCCAAACCACAGAAAACAATCAGGACGACGTGTAGGGCAAAGTCAAGGGGAGCCTCAGTTCACATAGCCACCCAAAATACTTCGTTTGCACTCAAAACGCATTGCAATCCCACCAATTTTCAGCATGTTGTCGTCTGATAAACGTATGTAGCATGTGTTGAACCAATATCGGATAATCAAAATAGCCATAGAGTAATCATCATTCTACCGATATGTTTACCATCTTTTTCTCTCGCCTACGTCGTGTCATACTAATGTCATCTATGAAGCCATATTGGATAATTTTTGCTACTCGAAAACACCACTTTCACGATAACGCTTGAGAAAAAAAAATCATCTATCACTTTTAACATTTTTTCCTTCCAATCATTTGCCTGCAACGATACATGGCTGAAGCTAACTATTACTAATTCCATAAGACTTTTAATTTGAGTGCAGTTGTAGTTGATTTATTTAGCACCTGCCACATTTTGAAGCACCACACGCCAATAGATCGTAGCACTTTGTAGGCTTCTTCAATAATTATCTGACAAGCACTTACTTCCACGTTGAAGGCAGCATGAGCATTGTTACCAGATTTGGGTTGCAGCGAGATCATCACTGACATTTCATCGACTGAGAGTATGGAAGCTTGGCCATCTGTCGAGGCCTCAATCGTCCGGTAGAGTTGTTGAATGTCCTTTAAATATGATCGCTGCGTTGCTGAATGCACCATCTGTGAATGGAAGCAGTTTATTTTGCCTAGTATGCTGATCAGGCAGGATCGTGAACCAGGACGATGGTCTGTCAACCTCTGCCTTTCGATTTATTTGGATAGGAACATCAAAATTGCTAAACATTTAATTTATGAAGAGGATTATAAAGGCCTTGAATTGAGAATACATATTGCGTAAAATGCAGTAAATGCTACCACAACCTAATACGCAAATAACCAATTAAGATTATCTTGCTGACTAAAGCCAAATTACCATTACAATTCTGAAAGACTATGCAATGTGACATTTTCATTCCCATTATCAAAAAATAAACAGCGTCAGCAAATTTTACCAATTACGTTAACCAGTCGCGGAGCGTGGACCTAAAATTTTCTGGTCATAAAAAACGATAATACAAGCTAAATGAGAATTTGCACGAAAGTGCATGAAGCAACACATCATATTCATCCTTCCCATTCAAAATCCTACTTGTGATTGGACAAACCCACATTTTAATTAGCGAAAGACAAAAGCAAATTACATGCTTAAATAGTAGACAGTGCATGACACTTGTGTAGACTAGAATTTCTTTATGGAAAATAAAATTTTCAATAATAAACGACATGAAAATGCAGCACAAATGCTTGATGAAATACACATTTTAAGGAAATCCTTCAAGTACACATTTGATGACAATCCAAATCGCATGCATGAAAGTAAAAAGCTTAGCAATGGCCTAACACTACAGAACAGTGCACGAGGAAAATACCTGTCTAACGGTCGACGAACTTTATCAGTACCGAAAATATTTGCAAATGGCGGTATATTTTCAAGGCTAAAAGAAACAAAAAAACAAAGCATTAATGTATCCTGGTGATTACGTGGATAACTGAATACGTTAATTACATCCTGCATGCAAAACACGGTTTATTAAGGGACATTAAAATTTTGTGGTAATGTTGATTTGCTGAAATCATGTATGTCAAATATAAGGCGAGAGAATTAATTAACAACAAAGGGATAATTACGTGTGAACAATGTTTGTCTTCTTGTCGAAAACGCGAAATTATTATTTTGCACCCTTTTTGTAGCAATTACCACATCTACAATGGGTTATGCTTAGAAGACTTTCATCACAGCATAGAAGGGATTCGTTGAAATGAAAATTATTGTTGTGGGCCCCAGTATGTGATCTTGAACCACGACGGGTTAATTCCGATTTCGTTTCCCCAAAATCCGCGATGAAGTATAAGATCGAAGAGGACGTCGACACAACCGTTTACTTCAGAGCTCAACTACGTTTGAGTTGTTGTGTCGTGTGTGGGGTTTGCGCCTGTGTATTTATACCTCTGATGTGTTAGTCATACATGCGCTAGCATCGAGACCTATGTGGGAGGATAATCCATGATAAATATTCGTGTGAATCAAATGGGAGTTGAGGATCTGCGCGGCTGGTGACATTCGGAGAAAAGTGGAACTATGTGTCGGAGGTGGAGCGACCCGTCTAAGGGGTGTGAATAAACACGATTCATAACACTATAATACTCTGACAGATAAACAGGCTATAGGCAAAGGTCTGAAATTTTCCATTTGCTTCACAAAAATTGACGAGGTTTCTAAATTCATAAATCATTATTTAGATGTGGACAGCTCAATTTACTCAGAAAAAAATTTGAGAATTCCTCACAACCCCTAAACAGCCAAAAATTGTAATTCGAAAAATTTTTTCTTTGTAAAGAAAATAAATTTTAACGCAAGTACTTCTTCGTTTCTATGTAACCTGTAGATGTTGTCATTAAACTTTTTTGGCTTAAACAACCTATTTTTTGGTAAGAAATATCGATAATCAGACAGTTCTCCATGTTCCTAATTATGGAAACGAACTTTGTATTGTCGTTTATTCTTGGAATCAAAACAGTTGTGTTCGTATATGCGACCTTTTTCATTGTGCAAACCTATGACACCCCTTACATCTTTTACAACTAATAATCAGGGCAACAATTTTTGAAAGTGAGTACAACGACCGAGTACAAACGACGAGGCTATTCTGCTGGGTGCAGCAAAATTTCCATGCCTTGATATTTCTTGGAAACTGTTACCACAATAAAAGCTACATCGCGGTATTAAATCTTAAACCATACCTCTACAATTAGACTCCTTAACTGATAAAATCGTCACATTTTCTGCTAATTTCACTAATTCCGATAATTTTTTGAGATATACATTTTGGTTGCATAACCTGCATCAGCTTCGATTCGCAGTTAAACAGGGTGTCCTCTAAATTCTCTCAAGGTACATGTGATATCACCAGTGTCTTTTTGTACAATTCATGTTAATTGGACCTCAGAATTTAGTTGTACCATTAGAATTGCTTCGCAGTGCAGTTCTGTGTTTGTTGTTTTCTCCACCATGTCACAAGCCTCGTTGGGCGCACTTCTAAGAATGTGCAATTGTCATGTTTACAAAACCCCATGCAAACGATAAGTTAATTTTTACCTTAATCTTAGTAAAATGTCATGAATGTAGTTAAATGAAGTTTCGCAATTGTGCCACCATAAATCGGATATTTCGGTAGTTTAGTACGCCGGCTGTTTCACGTTGGTATGAATTGTGACCGGTTTGCATGGAGATGGGATATGAGTTTCCATCTGAGCATGCATGGTGTTAGTAGGCTGTAGACTTCAATGAGGATGGAAGGAAAATACACATGCATTTAAATACATAGAAGCGAAATTAAATAGCACATTGTTGCTGCGATTTTAATCTACTTTCTTCAGAATATTACCGGTTTGGGTCTCCAGCAAATTAAACCACACGTCAAATATTCCTTGGTAAAAACAAGAGACATTTGAACGTTTTGTCTGGTGTCGTCTAAACGCTTGCTACTCATAAACGCACAGCTGTCGAACTGTTTTCACCTCCGCACCCGTTGTAACAAGTCAAAGAGCCATTTCAGCATCCAAAATATTTTGATGTGGGGATAGGGCGCTAGTTTTTTTGGTAAAAGAAACACAAAGACACACACACACGGACAAACTCCCGTGAAAACATTATTCACATCCAGTATAGTGAGTGCAAACGTATACAAAAGAGATAACAGTTCTAACGAAAGCAATGCGTGTAGTGAAATCTCTTTTAGTAGCGGTGGATTGAAATCGACCCTGCCAAAAGTGACATGCTCTAAGGGTGCCGCTTTTCCCATGTTTGATGATGCTCCTGATGGCATGTAAGTGAAGAAAACATGACTTATCACCCACAAATGTGTCCCACTAAGGTACGCCGTAGCCTACGAATTTCGACCCCACACAAACACACACTACTTCGCTGACATCACATCTGGCTGCAGACTGACTGAAGTGTTGTGTGTACACACGCCTCTGTAATCTGAAATACATGGTTAGTTGCAAAGTCGTGAGTTCTCTAAGGACCAAGCATGGCTTTGTGGATGATTTACATCACTGAGGTAAAATTGTGCACAGGAGAAGGTTGGGACTCAGGTGTCAGGCTAATGCACCTGTTTGTGAACTGGCTAGAAGACAACCTTTCTATCATCAGGTGATGCAACTCTGCGGCCGACAAAATGATTTTGCCAACACGTTAATCACGTTATTTTACTTTATTCCATAATCTAGATTGACAAATTATCCGCCGCTCATACTAGCAAAAACCTCTATTTCAATAAATTAATGGCGAAGTGTTAGCGCCACAAAATGTCTGTCAATCTGACAAATTCGCCAATATTAATGCCAGGTACTACTACAAAGCTTTTTTGAAAGCAATATTATATTAATACCATTCACCTCACAGATTAAGTATAAACATGTGATAATATGTTCTTCGAATTTGATTGGGGAGTTATACGTGACTGCACAACTAAACACTCAGTTCTTCCACCAGACCTTGGATTATTGCTTGCCTTCGCCAGGCGAATCGCTGGCACAAATTTTAGTCGCAGCTCTATTTTGGCGACGTAGTGTTTGCCTATTGGAGGGCTAAGCAGCATTCGGGATCGAAGACTTACAGACTACCTCGAACAAAAATGGTTTATTCTGAAAAAGAGGCAGCAAAAATATCGAAAAAAATAGGCTAACATAAACTAACAAGATCATATCTCATCCAAGTCGGTGAATGGGAAGAGGTGTCGCGTGATGTCCCTACCACTGGCTGGTACAAAACAGAGAAGGAGATTCAGCAGTCTCCGAGTCATCCAAAGGGGCCACAAATCAATAAGTGGCGACTGTCCGCATCCCAAATTCCAAGGCTGCAACACAAATCCTGACAAGGACTCACACATTAGACACGGCTGGTGACGAGATATGCCCAATGACGAGTATGCCTCGATTCGAGAGAACCAGGCCAGCCAATTTGACACAAAGGCGGTCACAGTGAGGAATCGCAGATAACCTGGTTGCGGATAGACGTGCTCATCTACCTCTTCCCCCGCGTCCTCCTCTTGACGAGGAATGGGAACGCGGTAGAAGGGGGAAATGGCGTCAATTGGGGTCATCCACAGAATACCA